AAGTAAAATAGAAAATATGATAACTGTACACATTTTGTCTCTGTTGTTACTTTAATAATATTGATTAATTGAATTTATCCATTTATCGTGTCAATTTATTGATATAATGATAATAAATTGACATAACAAAAATAAATATTAGTTAATTATCGCGGTTTTACCTGTAATTAATATCCGTGGCAATTTAATTGCTTTCTCTGTGTTGATAGGCGTCGTGTTACCAGTTTTCTTGATTATCTCCTGAAAAGGATTGATGGATACATGGAAGTCTCTGCGAATGTTTCTCGTAAAGTAACACGAGAAACGAATAATACTTTTGCATAACATTATCCCCAATCGTTGCACCACGATTCTCGAAGAAATAAAAGATTTTGTTGTCACAAAATAATGTTATCCTTCTGATTTTGAACGATCCTTCGATCCTCCAAATTGATCCTTCTGATTTGTACACAAAAAATTTATATTCAAAGAACGGAAACTTGTTTAAGATTGTTCGCACTATTTTAAAGTGTCTACTACTGTGCCAGAAACAAATAACTTTGTACAGATCTTCATGCAGAATTGTCAACTTTAATCTTTCCCCGCTGGTGGTCGATACACAACTGGTAGGAGCACGAGCAATAATTCTACATTATATCACGGCCCATTTTTAAAACCAGTTAGAACACGGATGCTGTCTCATTGATGTATTTGTATGCTAGAAAAGGTCTGTTCATACTAAATAGAATCACGCCAAAATTTGGATTACACGCACAAAAATTATATCACAATACAAACAGAACTGTCACGCTTGATAAAATAGACAAACTGTACTCTCCGATTCATCTTTTAAACATTAAATCGTCTTCTTCGTTGCATCGAATAGCTTTAAAAATATTCAAACTGTTTGCGTAATTGCAACATGCTACATCCATCGCCAGATAAAAATTCTTGGAGACATGCCTTGTAAAAGAAAAAAATATCCTTCAGACTATTGCGAAACTCATCACATTTTGCTAATTAATGTAAAAATAGACTTCTACAAGAAAATTCAAAATTCAAAAGATTAAAATACAATGTAGAGTCATACAATGTAGAGAAACAAGTTAGATCTAGTGTGAACGAACCTTTATGTAAAAAAACTTTATACGACTCTCAGTCTCTCTCAATCCTATGCATATACAACTCGTTTGACAACATCAGCCGCAGAACTATGTCTTTTATGAAGATTAAAATTATCCATTTCAATCATAAAACTTTATTGACAATTACACATTACTTTATTAGCTGTGTTATTTCATACTTACAATTTTCTTATTTTTCATTAAGCTAATTCTGGATGTTTATATAAAGTTTTTAAAAACAATTATATTGCTCGATAAAAAACATTTGCGACAAAATAATAAAATTGCGAATTAATGACTGCTTTATCTATACTTTTAAAACTTTTGATATGTTCTTATTATTCATACATTCTCATAACATATTCTTATTAAAAATTCTCGAGAGATAATATTTAAATATAAATATAAAGATAAATATAAAGATAAATATAAAGATAATATTTAAAAAATTAAAAAAAGCTTACTGAGAGTGCAGTAATTGAGAGTGCGCAATAATTTTTCTGTGTATAACATATTTTAATTTTATATTATATAATAAATTCCAAAATTTATATTCTATTTCATCTTCAACAATGTAAATCAATTTCTTCTTAACTTCACAATCATGGCAGTCATAAAAGGCAATTTTGAGTAGTTGTCTTTTATTATCAGTTAGTAGGCGTATTTTCGGTATTGACGTCGATTCTTCGATAAATGTCATGTTATGATCAGAAGTATCGTGAGATTTCAAGGAAATAACGATCGATTTGTCATGTCGTGATTGGCTCGGAAATGTACACAATAATTATTCGCATACCTCTGCAAGCGAAATATAACACACGAAATTCGCGAGCGGACGCTCTCTCTCGATCAGTCTTCGCCTAGTTATCCGTATCGAGAATCGAAGAATCGAAGAATCGAATAAAGTAACCAGTAATAATTACAATAGTGATAATTACATAAAAATAAGTTATAATAATAAACGATAAAATACCAATCACGCCTATACCTTGTGAATTTACCTCCTCGGAAATATAAAAATCGGAAAGATAGACACATACATATCTATCTATTTATTCCTACATTAGATTAAATAAAAACTAATACAGAAATTAAAAACGAAAATAATAAAGAATTACAATTAAGACACTCTTTTCATTATTCATTTAACTTAGATACGGTATGCAATCACACACCCAGTGCAACCAAGGACGTAACATTGCAATTAAGGACGTTGAAATGTGTAAAAATTTAATAAAAAGTTACTTCATTGAAATGATAAAATAAATGTTATCAATCATTCAGCCTAACAACAAAGTAGTAAAAGGTACAGTTTTGGCATATTCTGAAGTTTCTAACTAATACTATTAATTGGCAAAATGTTGACTAGACATTAATTACTGTTAGCCCAATGTTAATTAATAGTTTGCTGATCAATTTGTGCTACTTGAGTTGCCTTGCCTTTTAAAATGTTGATTGCAGAAGCGTAAAATTAAGAAAGAATTGATTTAAATCGTTGAAAATCTCGAAATAGAAAATACGAATCAAAATACGAATTTTAGACTAATGTAATGTAAAAATAAAATATATTATAAATAAAAATATTATTGCGCACAAATTATAGTGCCGCATTCTCAGTAATCTTTTGAATTATTTATAAATGTATTTTAATATTAAATGCATAGTTGCATTAATCATATCATCTATTAAATACATAATTGGATAATTGTAGATAATATGATCCTCCTTTATCATTTTCTTCTTTGTTTTAAAATTTAAATAAGAATAGAAGATTTTCATCATGTCACATTGGTGTATTAGTGTAGATATATCTAATAATATCTGTCATAAATATTATTTTTTGTCGAAAATTTGAATCAAAATTCAGATTAAAAAATTATATAATTCATTTATCTGTAATATCTATTTATGATTCAACGGAGGCTTGGTCAGGCATAGACCAATAGCGATTGATATTTTTCTCGTACGATCCTAAACCGGTTATTCTTTCAAGTCTCGCATAGCAAGAAAACATGAAAGCATAAACAAGCCACTAGATGTCATATGAATATCAAGGTTGTGAAAAAATTTTTGTGAGAAATACATTCATTATGTTATTATATGCAAGATAAAACATTGAGAATTTTATTCACAAATAAAGTGAAATGATAATATAACAATTTTAATAAATGTAATATATTCTTAAGATCAGAAAATACTGTATCAAAACGAATAAATTTGATAATTTGATAATTATACAAAGATAAGCTAATAACTATTATATCTGCTATTATATATATATATATATATATATATATATATACTTTTGTTTGTAAGTAAATTAATAGTTATTAAGTAATATTAGTAAATAACTTATTATATATAATATATAATAAGTAGAGAGAGAGAGAGAGAGAGAGAGTGTGTGTGTGTGTGTGTGTTTTATAATATTTCAATTAAATCCAACGAGGCTTATTAATTTCATTTCAATATTTCAATATTTCTTTAATACTATTTGCCATCATGATTTTTTAGCTCTTTAAGATACACTCGATTCATTTTTATACAAGTTTGTTTATAAAAAAATAGTGATCTCTCTGTCATTATGTTAAAAAATAATATGTTCATAAATATTCTAATGATATAATGATATTATTTAATAATGTTATAATAAATTTTAAAAATAAAATGTGGATAATTATTGATTTATCCTTGAAAAATTTGACTTAACGATTTAAATGACGATTCTTGAAAATTTCGAATCATTGTCGTTCACCGCGGCCAGTATAGAACACTGTAATTGTTTAACTTTAAATTTATTTGTTAATTAAATCAACATTATTCGTTTACGCACTACGCGATTGATTCATATGTTCACAATCGTAGATACAGACAATGCAAGTCACTGAGTTCGTAATCCTGAACGTGCACTTTTACTAAATGCACTTTTTCCCATTTTTAAGCTTAATATATGCATAATATACATGAATAATATATCAATATATTTTCTATTGATATAGTTATCTTATATTTTATGCTAGCTCTTTATCTATTTATTTTTCTCGACGATAGTATTGCAAATCTATACGTATGCATATGCATGTGTGTATTACGTTGAAATCACTAATTTTGTTCACTTTTAGAAAATAGAACTATAAAAAATATAACATGTACTTTTAAAAATTACTATAATTCATAGGGATTCTAAAAAGTTAACGTATAATGAATATGGATAAATCAAATGAAGCTAATAGTCATAGAGGAAAAATTAGTCAAAAATTAGTTTCAAATCAAGATTATATATTTTCATATAGCAAGAATATTATAATCTTCTTAGAAAAGAAATTTATCTTTAATCTTAATTTGATTGAATTTATATTAATGTAGGTATAGAATTTATATTAATGTAGGTATAGAATTTATATTAATGTAGGTATAGATATTCTCATAAGTAAGAATATCATAATCCTCATATAGAAAAGTTTTAATCTTGAGAGTTGAGCAAAATTAATGTATCACTTGTATCAATACACATTCAATCAAATCAAGATTAACATTTTTAAGAATATAATATTCTTGCTTAAGAATATTATGCGTAAGAATATTTATCTAAATTTAATTTTTTTCTGTGCATATATTTCGTGCCATTGGGATGATTTCGAAAGCAGCGATTGTTGAACATTTTCTTCTCGTTTTCATATACCCGTCCAATTGAGCGAATTCGAACAAGGTGCAATCGATTTCGATTGCTTTATGAGGCATACAACGCGGAAAATGAAAGAGAAAACGATTTCTCACCGATGTCGAATTATATACATTTGGCGATTGGTGAGATCCATGGGGAAAGGGAAGAATTTCCTGGAAGCGTGTCTTCACGGTGGCTGGATACGCACTTCGCAATTCTCTTCGCGTTTCCCTCCCGCCATCGCCCACGCCATAGCATCGTCATCTTCTCCCCTCAAGTTTGTGCAGACCACCACGCTTTTGCGAACATCTTCTTCAGTGCATTTAGTACGTTCTCGTAACGAGATCACGAAAAGGTAAACTCGTGACCGGGAAGCCAGTGACAAGGCCAAAACGTATATGTGTGTGTATGTTATATGTGTGCCTTTGTAAAAAAATGCATTGTTTGTTTTATGCGTAAGAAACAAATGCAAATAATTTCTAAGAAACAAGCTCGGATCATTTTTCTTCACGGACTTCACTGTTAGGAAACGTAGAATTTTTTTTAAAAGGAAGACGTTAATTTAAACGCCGTTGATGTAAAAGGTAAACAAAAGTTTCTGGATTGATGTTATGAACAAAAGATTGATGTTATTTGGAATATGAAAAATTATTATATCATATTCTTTTTTCTTCAATTCATATTTTGATAACATGACAATGATATTGGACGAAAAAAGTTTCTAAGAAGCAGCTAGTTTTTTATAAATAAATTGTCAAAAAGCCAACATTGATCAATCAAAAGGTTAATCAAAAATTCAATATTGATACCAATTGGTATTCTTATATTATGGATGCTCCGCACTGTTATGCACTCAACATATCGCTTTGTCAAAGAGCATATCTTCTTCAGTTGCATAATGACGTAAAATTAGCATTTGTGGCAGAAAATTAGATGTATACTTGAGGTCGACTGACGGGTGAAGTATCAAGGAAGTGGGAATCACTTTCACTAAAATTGCATCCATACCTTATCTTCTCCAAACAAATGATGTTGCTTTGATCAAAATCAGTATTACGATGATGACGTAGAAGGTAATTGATTATGCGAGTTATATGAATAATTAGCATTTATTAATGCAATTTTATTGAATAATATAGATTTAAAAAATAGTAATTATAATTTTACATATCTTTATCTGCAAATTTATTTATTGTTTTCATTTATGCATA